GTCAACCCTCAAATTCATATGGAATTGCAAGGGTCCTAGATATCCAAAATAATCATGAAAAAGACGATAAAAATTGGAGGGCTGAGATTTCCAGATTTCAAAACTCATAACAAAGCTACAGGAATGAAAACAGTGTGGTCCTGGCACATCAACAGACATGTAGGCTCATGGCATATAATTTAGAGTCCAGAAATAAACCCATACATCTACAACCAATTCATTGTTTACAAGGATGCCAAGTCCAATCAACTGGGAAAGAATAGTCTGTTCATCACATGGGACTTGGAAAACTGGATTTCCAGCAATCAACATGGAAACACGGATTTCCACATGGATTTCCATGCATAAGAATGAAGTTAAACCCCTACTCACACTACATATACAAAAGTGAACTAAAAATTGATCAACAACCTAAATATGAGGGCTAAAACCATAAAACTCTTAGAAGGAAACACAGGGCAAATGTGCATGACATTGAACTTGTCAATGGATTCTTAGATATAAGTATAAGTAGCAAAAGAACAAAATAAGATAAAGTGGATTTCATCAAAATTAAAAACTCTTGTGCATTAAAGACATTATCAAGAAAGTGAAGAGACAGTACACAGAGTGAGAGAAAATATTTATAAATCATATATCTGATAAAGGTTTAATATTTAAAACATACAAAATACTGAGGTGTCTGGGTGATTCAGTCAGTTGAATATCCGACTTCAGCTCAGGTCATGATCTCATGGTTTGTGGGTTCACGCCCCGCATCAGGCTCTGTGCTGGCAGTGTGGAGCCTGATTGGGATTCTCTCTCTCTCCTCTCTTTCTGACCCTCCCCCATTCATATTTCTTCTCTCTTGAAATAAAAAAAAAATAAACTTAAAACCAAATATACCAAGTACTCACCAACAATAGGACTCAAAAAGAAAAAGACAACCAAATTAAAAAATGGGCAAAGGACTTGCATAGACATTTCTCCAAAGATGTACATATGGCCAATAAACACATGAAAAGATACTTAAGATCATTAGTAATTAGGGAAATGTAAATCAAACCACACTTTGTCACTATTAAGTTGACTATTATCAATAAAACAAAAAACAAGTGTTGGTGATGATGCGGAGAAATTGGAACCTTTATACATTGTGGGTAGGATTTGGCGGTTCTTTAAAGAACTGAACATAGAATTATCACTCCACCCACCAATTCCATTCCCAGGTATATACTGAAAATAATTGAAAACAGGAGCTCAAGAAAATATTTGTACATCAATGTTCGTTGCAGCATTATTCACAAAAGCCAAAAAGTGGAAACATTCCAAGTGCCCATCAACAGTTAAGTGTATAAACAAACAGTGCTGTATGTATACGGTGAAATACCAGTCATAAAAATGAATGAAGGTTTGATACGTGCTAGGATATAGAGGAACCTTGAAAACATTATGCCAACTGAAATAAGCCAGTCACAAAAGTACAAATATTGTGTGATTCCACTTATATGAAATCTCTAGAATAAGCAAATTCATAGAGATAGAAAGTAGATGAAGGTTAGCCGGGACTGGGGGGAGGCCATGGAGAGTTACTGCCTAAGGGTTATACAGTTTCTGTTTGGGGTGATGGAAAGATTTAGAAACAGACAGTTGTGGGGCGCCTGGGTGGCTCATTAAGGGTCCAACCTCGGCTCAGGTCATGATCTCCCGGTTTGTGGGTTCGAGCCCGGTGGCAGGCTATGTGCTGACAGCTCAGAGCCTGGAGCCTGCTTATAATTTTGTCTCCTTCTCTCTCTGCCCCTCCCCCACTTGTGCTCTGTCTCTCTCTGTCTATCAAAAATAAAGAAACATAGGAACATAAAAATGAAAAAAAGAACAGATAGTTGTGATGGTTGCACAACACTGTGAATAATTAATGCCACTGAAATATACACTTAAAAATGATTAGAATGGCATATTTTATATCAATTATCTGTATTTTGCCACCAAAAATATCTGTTAAAAAGAGTTAAGAAACAATGAAACCATTTTACCTGTAGCATGATAGGATTGCAACTAATACTATTAGAAGGTATGCCAAGTGAAACAAAGGGATCACTGTCATCAAAGTTGCTTCAAGTTCCAGTTGTGTAGAAATTGATGTAAAGTAGACCACCTGCCACAAAAATTTAGTCAAGTAAATAACTTTTCATTCCAATATTTGTGTGAGTTACAAACCCTATTGAAACACTATAGCTTACTGATTGAAACATGTTAAGATTTAGTAAAAGATCAAAATATGTGAATCATGATTTTAGAATAAAGAAGATTAACATAGGTGTGCTTCTTCCCACAAATCTGTGGCACGCTTTCCAAAGTTTCTTTCAGAAACCCAAGGTTTAAACCTCCTGAATACACAAAATCTGAGATCTACCTAAGACTGTGAAACCATTCATAATTACAGAAATTGTGGCTTTTTCTAAAATTTTAGTAGGTCGTTGTCTTTTACTATTTTAATTTCATCGATATTTCAGAAGGATCTGGTATTTTTCCAATAGTTGTCTCACTTTGACCAGGCTTATTCACAACTATTAGTTACAGAATAGCTAGCATGTGCCTGGCACTAGGCTATATAACTTACTTGGTAAACGGTGAGCTAATTCTCTTTTCAATAATACCATGGAACTTCTTAAAAGTTTGTTGTTTTTATTCCAACGAACCCCAAACACATTTCAGAGGGTTCCCCCAAATAGCAAAGACTTTAAGAGGAAGGATTTTAAAGTAATTTGAGTGGAAAACCTGATAATCAATGTCTGCACTGAGCAGACCTACCTTAAGGATGTAGGATTTGTGTTTTCCACCAGAATATTATTAAGGATTTATGCTGTGTGGCATCCTTTGGTGTGTGAGATTAAGGAAGTTGGATTAAGTGTCAAACAGAGTAGAGCACTCCCAGCTGCAAGTCAAGGACTCCAATAAATAATCCAGGAGTGCTACTACTTGGAAAACGTGTTCTTACCCCTCCCACCTTCTCCTGGTCTCCCTATAAAACTCAGCCACCAGATACCTGGATCCTCTTCGAGGCCAGACTCTTTTCAATGTTGCTAAATTGGTTCAGGAAATGGGTCAACCATTTCTTACCACGTTAGTTGTCCTCTCCATCCTCAGTTTTCAGGTTGTAGAGCAGCCTCACGGCTTTGGCTTCCAGGAGTAACTGGTTCATTCCCATCCTCTCACCTAAGAAGGTTCCTCCAATGGTGTCAGCCAGGTAGATGGGCTGACCGGTGTGGTTGTAGATTGGGAAAGTGACATTTCTCAGGTCGAGGTCCCTGTTCATCTGCCAGGCATACAGGAGTGGGTTGGAAGGCACGCAGAGACCCTGGTGCTTGGCACACACCTGATTGTAGTGGATCTGGGTTCCGTTTTCTCCCATCGCATACAGATCCTGGATCACGTCATCCACTTTACTAACTTCTGATAAGATTGCTGGTTCTAGCAGGGAGGTGGTGTTGGAGACCGCTAGCATACAAGCGAAATAGACCTCGGTGCTCTTCCTGGAGAGGGAGAAGCGGTAAGAGTCGCTGGCGGTGAAGCATTCCTGCACAAAGCGCCACTCAGCCTTGGCTGGGCTCCCTATTGGTGTGTACTGCTCCTCAAGGTTTTCTTCTACATCCTTGGGCAGGTATATCAAACCGGTGCCCAGAGCGGCCGTCAGCACCATGGGCACCAGCAGGAAGATCCAGGGGGTGCGCGCCCTCTTCGCATCCCAGCCTTCGGAAGAGGCAGGAGAGGGGCGCCTCCAGGCAGTCGGTGTGGCAACGGGGTCTCTCGGACACCTGGTTTTCCGACGGTGATGCTGGCAGCGAGGAATCCCCCCTCACTGACACCGGATGTGAATGGGGCGCCCCAGCGGGCTCTGGCAACTGCCCCGAAGCCCAGGTCATCTCGGGTTCCTGTCTTCCACCGAAGAACTGCTCTGACTCGTGCTTAGAGGCGGGGAGCGGCTCTGAGCCCGGCCCTGCCTCGGGTTGCCGCCTCGCCTGGGACCTGGGCCCAGGCTCCTCCGCTGGGGGCTCCCACTCCACCGGCGCCTCCGCCTTGGCCAGACCTCTGGCGCCACCTTGCAGGGACGAAGGCTCATTTCTGGGAAGGAAAAGCCAGGGTCTCAAACGTGACAGCAGATTAGAAAGCAGCCATTGGACCCAGCGCCCATCTCTGCCCCACACGAAGGTTTCCTGGAGAAATTCTGCAGAAGTCTGTTTGAGTTCCGGCGGCTAGCGCCCAGATCCCAGAGGCTTCCGTTGGGGAGCACGTGTTTTGACTCATAGCCCATCCAGCCCAAATTTGTGGCGTGCCTGATGCTCCCAGGAAGTTAGTACACAAACACTACTTAATGGTAAGATGCGTGCCTCTTCTACAAGACTTACACACACACACACACACACACACACACACACACACACACAAATGTGGTGTCACCTTTCCGGGGAGCATCCAGTAACACAGTTCTCGGGTAAGGTGAACCTCGTACCCCTGGTTTAGTGATTCTTTTTGTTAACTACAAACGTAACATATATTCTTCATGTAACAAGTTACAAGTGGGCTGAAATAAGTAAATAAGTGGGCTGAAAAGTGGGTATTTATCTTGGATCTATTCCACCCACAGTTCCCAGGATGGAGGGACCCCTGTGTTCATGTCACCGTTTTTACGAAAACCTTTACCTACCTTTCAACATGCTCGCAACCGAGAGGCAGGTCTTGAGCGGTTCTTAAGAATTACGAAAATCGCTTGCCATGTTTTTCATGGTTGGTAGTCACCTAATATTATTGTGATTGTGTTTTTATGTGGGTAGGTCTAGCATTTTAATGAAATCTCCAGATTGTAAGAGTACCAAGTCCAAGAGTTTAAGAAAGATAATTTTAACAGTATTTTCAAGGAGAAAGAAATAGGAGATTTTGTTAAGTTGCCTCTCCAGAAAGTCATTGTTTAAGAGTGACCTTATTAAAATAACCACAAGATGGCACCCGTTTTCTATTTTCAAAGTTATGGTAAAGGAAACTGAAGATTCCTTCTCTCTTTCATCCGTGTTTCCAAGTCCTAATTATAGCTACATCTTGAGTTCATCGCTGGTGTGCTATAAAGCTAGTGGCTTCTGTATCACATTTAAAGTCTGTAGATAGAGGAACTGACCTGAGAATTCCATTTGTTGAACCATGTCTACATTATGGAGAGAATGGCTCAGCTGTTCTCCTAAACATTTAAGAGGAAATGGTAGGGTGAAGGTGTTCACAAGTACTCTATAATGTACACATCCAAACACAGGGCCTCTTCCTGCCCATCTTTATAAAGTATTTCTCTAGCACAACAGCAATGTGTGTTTTTCATCTCAAAACACAAGTAAATTTCTACAATTGCTCCTAAATCAGGCATTGTGAAGTGCAAATAAATTCTATAGTAAAATATGTACCCTGGGATTTGATTTTATCTAGTTTCTTAATTATAGATTCTTGATTCCAGATTATTTTATTAATCTCGTTATCTAGATTACTAATGTTTGTGCGGGTCTAGAATGTCAATCAAAAATACCACTGTTAGTTATTTTCCACCAGTTTTTCTGTATCATTTCATAAAATGAATGTAGCATTTCCAAAATGAGCTCATTGCCTATTTTTGAGTTATCAAAGCCTGAAAGGCTCTGAAAGATTGGTTTCAGAACTCTACACTTCTCCAGGTGAAGCTGTCACATGGCCTAGAAGTGACATGGCTTCTAATTAAGGAAGTCTCTAAAGGCTCTTCCTTTCAATTCAGGAAGACCCTCTGGCCTTCAATTTGAGAATGGTGTCTACTGTGTCAGGATAGGATTCTCCATCCTTCAGAAAATGCCTTTTGTATGAGGAGAGGATGGGTATTGGGAATTCAAGAATATAGTTTAGAACTTAAAATTGTATCTAGTCTACTTCTTCTCCACCTTCAGTCTAGATAAAATGAAGCAGACTAAGCATTCCTTTTATCTTCTATCACCATGTAGATTCCATTTCCTTCTGTTCCCCAGTCCTTCTTCAGCAGCCTCTGTGCTCCATTTTTTTTTCTCTTCTCCTCCCTTCTCTTTTGCTTCCTGCCCCTTCTCCTTTTCTAATACCTATTCTTTCACATTAGCCAAACTGAGTTTGATATAAATAAAGGGAATTTTATTTTTTTATTAAAAAAAATTTGCCCATTGATAAACGTGCCCTCACATATAAAGGGAGACCTATAAGACTCGTGACTGATCTCTCTTTTGAAACTTGGCAGGCCAGAAAGGATTGGCACGA